TTTAATCTCATGATGGATGACACTAAAATATCCATGATACACGTGGGAAGATTAACTAGATGAATTATTAGTATTGTATCTTGTGATTACAAGCCAGAACCATAGCATTTAAGGATTGAAGATGTGCCTACTATAACGGGCAAAACAATTGAGGGTATGGCTTCAGAAAGGAAAAATGTGGATGGTGTGCATGTTTGCAGCTTATCCTTACCTTTCATCTCCATGGACCCCTTCTCAGTCCTGCACCATTGTCTCTCATGAAGAGGTCCTTGTTTGCGGAAAAAATAACAAAGCTGTAAATGAAATAACAACAAAAAAATAATAATTTAACTGTATTGAATTGATAACTTTTTAATAGTTTGATTGTTTGAGCTTACCTTAGTCAAGTAAACTTCCAATTATGTGCTGTAAGGCACAAAATCTGTCAAGTGACCTCTTATTGTGTATGTTACCTAACACATATATGCACTTTGTTTTTTCTGTTTTTTAAATAATCTACTTTTGAAAATTAGACAGAGCAACTATTTTTCTCTGTAGGGTGTGGTATGCTATCACCGTTCTGAATAATATACTGATTTTTCCTTTTATGCTAGTGTCACCAGCTCCCAATTTTTAGGAAGACACCAGAATAATGCACATTGTATGAACTCATTACTGGAGTTCATTATTTTTTTCTTTCCATTTTCTAATCACAGTGGCACCTAATAACTGCATATGTATTATTATTTTTATTGGCATTTATAAAAGGGCCAACTTATTCGGCAGAACTTTACAATATTAGAATTGGAGAAATTAAAAAAAAAAGAAAAAAGACAATTGCAAAATGTTACAGGAACAATAGGATGATAAGGACCCTGATCAAATGAGTTTACAATCTAGAGTGATAACAAAATCATGGACGGTGGATAGCTCCCTATTTACCCCACAAAATACATATAGGAACATAAGATCCCGTATTTAAAAGCAGATATGATCCTCTTTCAAACAAGCAGTCTTGTGTTTGCCCAGCAGCAGGGTAATTGTTATAAACACCTATTGAGCGCCGACTAATAATCATGGAATGCAAGAAAGTGTCAGTGAAGCGTATGTGCACCAATGGAACACATGCAAAAGTGGCTTGGAACACATGGATGATTTCTCTGATGGATGCTTCATACAATGCAGTTGTACTCAGTAAGCTCATGAAAATGAAGTGGCAAGCGTTTAACAGAGGAAGAAGCCGCAGCACACTGACTGAATTACCAATCAAAGCGATGTTAAAGGGCTGTCTATAGAGGGACTCCAGTGGGAGGGTTTGTAGGGCACTTTTGTACTATTTGTATTGGTGCATCACCTAATATTGTTTCTGCACTCTGAGGAAGTCCCATATTGGGACGAAACATATCGAACCTGTTATTTTAATACTGAATTTTAATTTTATTGTGACAATAAAATACTTTTTGAACCTCACTAAAGATCACCGATAGGTTTGTTTAAAGCAGGGGTGGTGAACCTTCAGCCCTCCAAATGTTTTGGACTACATCGCCCTTGATGCTTTTTCAGCATTACGGCTGTAAGAGCATTATAGGAGATGTAGTCCAAAACATCTGGAGGGCTGAAGGTTTCCCACTCCTGGAGGGACCTTTTGAAATCAATTGTCAAGTGGAGACCTGCTAACACCCCCACCCCCAAAGGCACCTTAAAGGGACACTATAGTCACCCAGACCACTTCAGCTCAATGAAGTAGTCTGGGTGCCAGGTCCCTCAGGTTTTAACCCTGCAGATGCAAACATAGCAGTTTCAGAGAAACTGCTATGTTTACATTTGGGGTTAAGCCAGCCTATAGTGGCTGTCTTCCGGACAGCCACTAGAAGCGCATCTGTGACGCTGGAGGCATATTATGCTTCCATCGCGCAGAGCATCCATAGGAAAGCATTGAGAAATGCTTTCCTATTGACAGCTTGAATGTGCGCACGGCACTTGCCACGCATGCGCATTCGACTTCGCTGATGTTGGCAGAGGGAGCTGACATCGGCGGGGGAGGAGAGGTCACCAGCGCCGAGGGAGCTCGGCACTGGATTAAGGTAAGTGGCTGAAGGGATTTTAACCCCTTCAGCGCCACAGGAGGGGGACACTAAGGGTGGGGGCACCCTCAGGGCATTATAGTACAGGAAAACCACTTTGTTTTCCTGACACTATAGTGATCCGTTATGGCTCTATATATTTCAAGATCAGAGACACCATGGGTTTACTTCTGGAAGATCATGCCAAACTAATCTTATTGATTTTTTTGATTGGGTAACTAAAATAATAATCAAAGAATACCTCCTTTTACAGAGGAATGTGTATAACAGAGTGTTTTTAAACAGCTACGGTGATGGAAATATCCTCTATTCCACGAAACAAAATTTGAATTATTAGTGCGGTGTAAGTGACAAAAGACTTATACCAGTAAGTGGAGCGCTCTAACACATATAGCTTACCAAATGGTCTCTCATTTCTAAAATATTGTGTTTCCACAAACACTATCTACACATTGGTCTGCTTCTCCTATTTTTGTCTTTGAGAAATACCCCATACCGAAGGAGACGGGCGGTGCTACCCTAAAAAAGCACACAAGCCAAAATACGCAGCCAGTGTTTTCACATACAGGCTCCTTGAAATGTGAGTGTTCCATTTATCAAGACATCACCATCATAATTTTATTATAATTTTATTATTATTTTAAAAAAGACGTCTGCACTATATTGTATTTCTTGTATTTTTTTCTCGACATCATAATTTTATTATAATTTTATTATTATTTTAAAAAAGACGTCTGCACTATATTGTATTTCTTGTATTTTTTTCTCGACATGCACCTTATATTCTATTATTCAATAATAGAATATAAGGTGCATGTCGAGAAAAAAATACAAGAAATACAATATAGTGCAGACGTCTTTTTTAAAATAATAATAAAATTATAATAAAATTATGATGGTGATGTCTTGATAAATGGAACACTCACATTTCAAGGAGCCTGTATGTGAAAACACTGGCTGCGTATTTTGGCTTGTGTGCTTTTTTAGGGTAGCACCGCCCGTCTCCTTCGGTATGGGGTATTTCTCAAAGACAAAAATAGGAGAAGCAGACCAATGTGTAGATAGTGTTTGTGGAAACACAATATTTTAGAAATAAGTGGTGTGCTCACCTGGTCCTGAGCCTGTGGGTCCCGGCTCTAGGTATATAGGTATTGCGCCAATTTGAATGGGGATGGCACTACCCCTGGGAAGATACTCTTGAGGTTTCCAAAAAAGGACTTAAAAGGATCTTAAATGAAAAGTAATGGATTTATTCAAATATAAAACAAATAAAAACAATAATTATAAAAAGTCCTTAATACAAAGTCCTTTTAAATGACTTTTTATTAAGGACTTTTTATAATTATTGTTTTTATTTGTTTTATATTTGAATAAATCCATTACTTTTCATTTAAAAGGATCTTAAATAAAAACAATAATTATAAAAAGTCCTTTAGTGACAGGCAACAGAGGATTGTAGTTAATGGAGTATATTCAAAGCATGGGTTTGTCACCAGTGGGGTACCTCAGGGATCTGTACTTGGGCCCATTCTCTTTAATATTTTTAAGTAATATTGCAGAAGGTCTTGATGGTAAGGTATGTCTTTTTGTTGATGATACTAGATATGTAGTATTATCATGTAGGTAAGATATGTAACAGGGTTGATGTTCCAGGAGGGATAAGCCAAATGGCAAATGATTTAGGTAAACTAGAAAAATTGTCAGAGTTGTGGCAGCTGACATTTAATATGGATAAGTGCAAGATAATGCATCTCGGATGTAAAAACCCAAGGGCAGAGTACAGAATATTTGAATATTTGAGTCCTAACCTGAACATCTGAGGAAAGGGATTTTGGGATAATTATTTCAGATGACTTAAAGGTAGGCAGACAATGTAATAGAGCAGCAGGAAATGCTAGCAGAATGCTTGGATGTATCACTACTGTCTTGTGAGTGTTACCAAACTTGCTAAGGATCTTTTTTTGCAATAACAGAATTATTGTGCATTAATTTCTTTCATTTAAAGGTCATTTAAAGCTTTCTTTGCATATTGATTTTGGTTTTATGTCTATTTTAGGTGGTCTGGCAACACTATGCAAGTCTGAATCACCATCTCTTCATGAAAATAACCCAGAAGACCCTTTATTTGAAATAGGAGTGTCCCTTTATTCAATAATATGTCACTAAAACTGTCAAGTGTCAACAATCATCTGAAAACATCCACTCGCATTCCTTTTTGTTTTTAGTGTCATGACCTATAAATCTTTGTTCCTCTAAACCAATACAATTTTGCAGGTATCTAAATACATGTGAGAATTGGTTACATTTTGTAAAAGTCTATATGTTGTAATTATTGAATATTTTCAGTTTTTCTATTAATATTTTTGCTAAGCAAGTTTGGAAATTGGTAGGATCAAATGTATATTCTTACAATGAGCTAAGTCACCCATTGTGAACTCAAAATTATGTGTAATTTAATATATATATATATATATATATATATATATATATATATATATATATATATATATACTATTTTACAATTATTTTACTCAGATGCATTTTCTACATAAATCACAAGATGGTATGAAGGGAAAAAAATAATGCATAATCTTTTAATTTCTATTGCTATTTTTTCTGACTATATTTCAAATGCTGCAGTTTTGGAAAATGATGTTACAAGTGCAAGAATAATGTGTATATTTGAGATATTTATTAGACTTCTGCAAAATTTGTATATATGTAAATTATAAAAGAAGGAATCTGCATTATTGGATATATATATATATGAAGGAATATATATTTATTGGCTAATCATGACAGCATATATATATATATATATATGGGTTAGCTCCTCCCCTTACAGCTGATAGGACAGGAATAAAACAAATGCCTTTAAAATGAGTATCCCTGTATAGGTCCTTCAGTCAGTAACAAGCTCCTACAGAAGAAGTAAATCCAACACTGGGTGGGTAGTATATGCTGCCATAAATAATAGCCAGGAAAAGAAAATTACAGTAAGTATGAACACATTTTCCTCTTTCTTGGCTAATCGTGGTGGCATATGCATATGGGAATATCCAAGCTTACCAGGGAGGGACAGAAACATACATAACTGCCAATCAGATCACATATTGGCTTCAACACCCTCAGTGAAGGCTTGAGTTTGATCGCTGCTTACATGAAGCAAAGGCAACCTAAAATAGCAAAAAGAAATAATGTAATGAAGAGAAAAACCACATGTCCATAAATAAAAAGGAGCAAAATTCTCACATCCTAAGGGTTGTAGGACAGGAAAAAGACTGAGGGACCTATACAGGGATACTCATTTTAGAGGCATTTAAATATATGTGACCTACCACTGGTCTTACAGGCTCTGACTAAACCATAATTCGAACCTCTAGCTGGAGCTTCCTGCTAAAAGTGAAAGCTTATCAATGTCATTCTCTACCTGCACCAAAGGGTTTCGGGGCACTCTCTACTCGTGCAGTTGCAGCATCGTGGGCTTCCATGGCAATGGTCTCTTCTGAAACTTTGTAAAGTTGGCATTCGGACCCCTTTGAACTTGTTTGTCCAGCATTACATACTGGTTGATAAAGCATTCAATGAGGTGCAATTTGGAAGTCACATCCTTAACTCAGTTCAATCTTCTAATCTATGTTGAATTGTTCTGATTATTTGATTGGCAGTTATGTATGTTTCTGTCCCTCCCTGGTAAGCTTGGGTATTCCCATATGCATATGCCACCATGATTAGCCAAGAAAGAGGAAAATGTGTTCATACTTACTGTAATTTTCTTTTCCTGGCTATTATTTATGGCAGCATATACTACCCACCCAGTGTTGGTTTTACTTCTTCTGTAGGAGCTTGTTACTGACTGAAGGACCTATGCAGGGATACTCCTTTTAAAGGCATTTGTTTTATTCTTGTCCTATTGGCTGTAAGGGGAGGAGCTAACCCATATGTATATGCTGGCATGAATAATAGCAAGGAAAAGAAAATTATGGTAAGTATGAATACATTTTCCTCTATATATATGAAGGAATCTGCATTCTTGGATAATGCTCTGTAGGCCTTGTGTTAATCTGGCACAAAATGCAAAAATATAGAAGAGACAGATAGCACTCAAGGACTTTACAAAAAATAAAACAACTTTCATTGATGTGTCAACATTTCAGATTAAAATATAATCCTGATGAAAGATTATATTTTAATCGGAAATGTTGACACATCAACAAAAGTTTTTTTGTTTTGTAAAGTCCAATAGTGCTATCCTATCCTTCTATTTATATATCTTTTCCTTATATATATTTGGGAATTGGGGATTCAATTTTATGTATAACTTTGCAAATACCTGCTATTTTCTTCCACTTTCCATTCTTTAAACTATATTAAACATGCTTATTCATTTCTTCCCATTATATATCTAGGGACCTTTTCATCAACCTAGGGTTCCATAAATAAACAGTTGAACAGTTGAGAACCAAAATTGTTGAGCTAAAAAATAAAAATCTTTAAATCACCTGAATTTACATAGAAATATAATTTGGAAGAAATGGTACAGCTTACTAAAAGATATGGTATGCTATTTATTTGTAAAAGTCTCCCTAGATTTAATTCTAAGTTATTGACCAGGCATGCAATGTAACTTAAATTAAGAAGGTGTTTTTACTTTTCTCTTCTGCATTAGTCACCCCAGTACATGTTTTAGCAGTGTTTACTCAGGTGAGGAATTGAACTCGGTGAAGAATTAGAGTTCTGCTTTAAACCTACATTTTTCTGAGTTGATGACTAAATTATCATCTTACCTCAACTCACTGTTGCATTTTGTTTTTGATATCCTCTCTTTCAGCTTTGCAATAAGTGCATTTAGCTCTGTATGCATACGTACCCCATAAAGTGATATGCTTGTGGGTGGGGTAAAGGTACGGGGTCAGTTACATGACTTGTGTCACCTAAAACCACCCATGGATATGGACTTGCTCAGAGAATTGGCAGGTCAACCTGGCATGAATGCATGCCAAGCTGCCTGCCAATCAAGCAGGTTGACCCACCAAGGGTAGAAGACCATGCAGGAATCCCTGTTTTATTGTGTTCTGCTGGAATATGGTGCCCTAAACATAGTGTGAGTTAGGTTTTTTTGAGTACAATTCCCTGATCCCACAAAAGAGGGACACCATGAAACATTGTTGGACTCTCAGGTCAAAACCCTGAAATCAGGACTGTTGGAAGGCATGTACATAGATATGCTTTTCAAATTGTACACACTTCATATTCTGCAGTATATCTCAATAGAAATGTGTTTTAAACAATGTTTGTGTGACATAAGGATGCTCTACATTACAGATATATTTGTTTTAACATATACATAACAAAAATTGAAAGTGAGTTATTTGTTCTGCTCTAGCATACTGTAACATGATTTGTGCAGAAAAATATTCAGTGAGGAAAATGTGTTTTTTGAGCTTAAACTAGCTTTTAGAAGCAGAAACAACTGACAACGTTTGATTTATGCATTAATGGTGCCATCTTCTTGGCACAGAAATAGCTATATGAAGTATTCATGAATTACTTAAAGTCTTTTGCAGAGAAAGTGATGGAATGGAACATTAACTTACTGATCCTAAGTCAGCAAAGAATAGTAAATTATTAATTAGTGATAAGACTGTGTTATCACCAGGGAATAAACATAGATCTGTATCAGTCATCACAAATTGCATTAGTGCTCTTCTTTGTAACTTACTTACTCTCTATAATTTTACCATCAGTGGTTCATTTTGGAATCTATGAATAATACAACATTTTCTTTTATTTTTGTTTTGCTTGATTCCAATTGTCACCTCTACTTACTTTTTGGTTGCATTCTTTTCCGTGATAAATATGTACCTCTCAATAAAATAAGCTCCAAATGAAGACTGTAAACCATTTTGTTTTCTTATGCTCTGGTTTTTGGACACACAAGAAAAAATGAAAACAACAGAACAAAATAAAAAAACAAATAAACACTCCTTTAATTTATGCTAGTCCTGCGAGTGTTTTTATTCAACTTTGTAGAATTTTGGCGTATGAGGTCTTGTAATTTTGTTTAGCTGTGTACGTTCATTAATTTCACAGCTCAGAATATCCTCATCACCTGTTCAAAGGAATACAACATGTCCAATTTGATCTACAAATCAAAACATCTAATCATATAAAATGTAGTTAACAATTCAAATCAGAATGATATAAAAATATAAAGAAATAACTGCATACAAATTACATTACAATATTGACATTGTAAATATTTAGAAAGCATATAAATGGTATGAAATAGGTTTCATATTGTCATGTGTACATGTTGTAGCAAAATCAGAATTTATGAACTTTTAACACCACAAATTATTTGGTATGTGCAATATCCCTCCAGTCATTTCTGGATTTTGTAGTCAAACTACTCTATCTCACTTAACTTTTTTCACATCTGCTCTTACTGTGCAAATCCCTACACAGGCTGCTCTCGGCAACAGACTGAATTCATTATCCTCTTACATTTACACACAGAGATATTTCAGACAAAGCTTCATTCCTTCCAACACATTTAGGTTAACTTTCAAATTATTTCACCGACAATGTTTTTCTTGAGGCATTTCCCCTACAGCTGTTCTCACTAATTATGGGGATACAAATGCAAATTTTGTGGTTCTACTATATAAGATGTTTTCTTATTAAATAATGTATAAACAAGACTTTGCAGTCTTTAATTTAACAATGAATCATTTAAAACAAATCCAGTATATTTTGTATGAGTATCGTCTCTGGCCATAAACTGTCAGATTTTGGTAAGGTTAGTTGGATTTCTTAAAGAGAAGGGGTGAAGGGCTGCGCTAAATAAAAAATAAATAAAATGTCAAAGGTAAAATAAGTGGATAATAAAATAATGTAATAAAATAATACAATAAAAATACAATAAGAAAGATAATGAATCGGTGAATAAAACAAAGTCCGTGTACTAATAAGAATAAAACTTAAAAAGTCCAATAAAATACATAAAGGTGTCTCACTGATATGTTGATAAACTGTATATACAGTCCTCAAAGATTGATCCTTCCGAATTTCCAGGGAATCCGTATATGAAAAATAAGAACACAACAAACTTCCAATGGTATAGTATGTACTGAGAGAGTTAGCGAAAAGAAGGAAAATGGAGGATAATACACTCACATTTGTTGGAGCTTTGGACCAGCTCTTAGTTGAATCGCACTTAGCGGTATAATCCCCGCTAATGGATTTACTGTGGAAGTGGGTTTGTCCGTCCAACTTGGGTTTCGTGGGATTCCGCAAGGTATATAAAAACAAATATAGTGCTCTCAGTAGGAAGAGAAAACAAAATATAAAATAAAATAAAATATACTCACAATGATAGAGCAGGGAATACTGCTCTATAATTAGCGCGCTGGTGGAATAATCCCCACCTGTGGATTGCTTTAAGCAGGAACAGTTGAATGCTAGGAAAAATTAAAAAATGTGTTTATACAATAAAACAGAATTGGTCCTATAAATAAGGGTACCAAATAAAAGTTTTTATTGTTAAATTTCACAGTAAAAAACCATTTGACGCCTTTCACCTCATGGGCTTTATCAAAAATGGCTAAGAGCAATGACCTGGCATGGAACAGTTTTTATAACAAATATACAATAATTGAAATTGGCGCCTAAAACAAGTGCACCAATTACAGGCAAGAATTAACAAAATATTTTACAAGTTTGTCAAATTAACAAAAACTAAAAATATTATATATATATATATATATATATAGTTAGTGTCTTATACAAAATATAGTTTTTTCATTTAAACGAGCGTTCGTTTTTATAATAATTTATATAAAAGTAAGTCATATGGTCGGGAGTATGACGCCGCAGCACGTGACCGGCAGGGGCGAGCGAGGGCTCATGGGTAGTGGATGCCGGTCACTGCTGGGATCACTGAGCGGCTTGGTATCTGTGGGCGGTGAAAGACGCTGCGGCACGTGACCGGCAGAAAAGAGCACAGGCTCTTGGTTAATGTAGTATCATTTCTGCCGGTCACTGCCAGAAATAATGAGCGGCTGACGGGAGCATCGTTAGTCAGCCATTCACCTTCAGAATATAAACGTTTACACAGATTTGGGTTATTTTAAAGTTATAAAAAACGGACAGTGTGTTTTACATAAGACCAATAAGTTAGGTATTTGCATGTATATATAAGGGTTGTTTCAATACATGATATGCATATCAAATAGTTATAAAATACTTTACATACAAATATTGCATGTTAAAAACACATAATAAGAGGCACAATAAAATAAATTGAGGACACAATAAAATGAATGGATAGGAGCAGATATTAATATATTAGATGGATGAAAATAAATATATAGGTAAAAATAAAAATGTAAAATTAAAAATTTAAATGTATATAAGGAAAATGAAAATTTTATAAAAATTAAAATGTATATAAGAAAAATATTAATGGTTATAAGAAAAATTTAAAAAATGCTATTAAGTAAGAAATGTAAGTTATAAAAAGTTATGCAAATCAAAATCTGCATTAAGACCTTGTGGTGTAAGGGTTTGTAGCTTAAAGACCCATTCCATTTCCACCTTACCTAAAATATTCTTAATATCGCCTCCTCTCCATGGTATTGTACATTTTTTGATTCCCATACATTTTAATAAGGGTTCTTAAGGGATTTTTTTTTCTACATTTTATTAAGGGTTCTTAAGGGATTCCCTTTTAAGGGTTGCAGCTCTTATCGTTGCTATCTAGCACAGACTCCTCCCCCCTCTTTCTACTAGTTGGATTTCTTAGTATATAGAGAAAAGACTGAATAATGAGTTTTAACTCTCTCCCCTCTCCTCCAATATTTATAATGACCAAAGGGGGACACTAATTGTAGGGTCATGAATGGGGGTGTGTGGTCAGAAGAAATTCTAGGTGTCTAACTTATAACAATGTATGCAACTAAAATGTTAATTAGAACAAGAACAATTTATTTTACTTAAACAAGCAGATTTCTAAACCCCCTTTATTGTGGCTTAAAGGCACAAAAACAACATGGAGCTCCTAGTAAAGAGGGACACTAGAACAGAAAAGAGGGACAGAGGAATCTGTGCTCAAAATACGGATTGTCTCTTCCATATAGAACTTAAAGAATTTAGAAATGTATTTCTCTATATGTGCTCTTCCTTTAGCTATATTATGTATACATTTTGGTCACTGTGGCAGCACCATTCCTGCAAGATGCATGCTCTGGGTGTGCCCCCAATTCCTTTTTGTCTTTACCTCCTAATAAGGACACTTGGGGGTTATGTAATCCTACATTGAATGGACCATACACAGGCAACAGATGTTTTAACAGGTGATACAGTTTGTTATGTAATAATAACAGGATGACAGACAATAGCTCGAAAGCATTTTCATTAGCACAGTTGATTCTTTCCTTACTGAGTTCCATTTTTGTCCTCTTCAGTAACGTATTGCATACCAGTGATTTATGTATCAACCACCGTCTTTCAGCAACATGATATGTCATACATGTTTAAATAACACATATAAAAGCATTCTTTTATATGTTTATTTCCACTAATTAGACTGTTGATCTTGTGGTCCATTTCCTCACATCCTAAACAAATACTACCAATTCTAAGGAAACATCTCCTACAACTAGACTGGCTACAAATATCTAAATCATTATTATATATAAGATCAAATTCCTACATGTGTGACTACACCTGATCTGTTGGACTATAGTGAGGGATAAAAGTATTTGATAACCTGCTGATTTTGAATGTTTGCCCACTGACAAAGAAATGATCAGTCTATAATTTTAATGGTAGGTGTATTTTAACTGTGAGAGACAGAATAACAAAAAAAAATAATTAAAAAATCCAGAAAAACGCATGTATAAAAAGTTATAAATTGATTTATAACCCCAAATTGATTTATGTCCCCACATGACAGTGTTCCTTTATACAAATAAGCAATTTCTCCATCTCTGTAACCTCCGATCTGTTCCACTATTCCATGTTATCTACCTCATGAGGAATGAGGGAGAAAAATTGAAAGACATGTTCACAGATTCACGCAAGTTTACTGGCTTAGATGTAAGAGAATTGATAAAGATGGAGGACAAGTATAGAAATTAAAGTCTAGCCAGATATTGTTTTATTTTTACCTTACACACTCAGGTACCTGCCATCAAAAACCTCGAATATACCGCTACACATGTGAATTTGAAAAAAAAACCAAAACACTAAAAGCACATTTTTTTTAATGAAAGATGATTGAAATGATTGAAAGACTTAATATTTTGTCAGCTTTTAAAGAGCAAGAATTGAAGGCTTCATGTGCAAACACATATCAATAGCATTAACAGCCCATTTAAAAAGGCAGAAGTATTATTTAAAACTTTATCAAGAAAAAATATTTTCTAATTAGATTCTACAGACATATGCACTAAGTGATCTAATGTAAGCATATTCACAAGAATTTGACAAGGGTAAAGTAAAAGGCAAACAAAAGGAAGTTCCATAACAAAATAATAAAGGAAAAGAAAAACATATATGTATTTTTATTCATTATGTGTTATTTTGAATAAGGTATAGGGGCAGAGATTATTAGACTTGTTCATTCATTTTCATCTAAGTTGCAATCCAGACAAAAATCAGTTAGTCTAAATTCCGGATGTCATGATGGAAGAATGAACTAATGAACACATTGCTTGAAATAATTATTTTTTAGCAACCTATATTTCAGGCTAACATTACTAAATTAAGG